AAGCAGATGGCCCCAACTCAGCCCCCTCTGGTAGGAATGAGTGCTCAGCATCTTCCTGCAGCCATGGGCTTGGCCGTACCTTGGGAATGCCGTGGGCTCGGCTGCATCCGCCCATATCCTCACACAATGTCTGTGCATCCTTCCTTCCCTTACAGGGAAGAACACCCCAAGGAAAACTGCACCTTCCACCCCCAGCCCCAAACGGAAGAACAAGCAGATGGGCTCACCAGTACGACCGCTCCCTGGACTCTGGTACCTGGCTGCTGCATCCCCCGCTCCACCAGCCTTGGCCTACATCTCCTCGGCTCCTGTCATGCCTTACCCGCCACCCACTGTGTGAGTGTTCCCTTCCAGCTGCCCCAGCCTGCCTGAGCGCCTGCAAATTCAGCAGTCTTATATCGTGGCGGAGGGATGTGAGCCATGGATAGTGCCTTCCCGTAATTTACCCGGGTGGAAATGGAGCGCATGCCTGACATTTCTTGTAGTCACTCAACAAACCCTTAGGGGGCAGGCTGCTGGGTACTGGGAACCCATCGGTAAAGCAGACTGGCAAGAGGGCCCTGTCTCTGGGAGTTACAGCTTCCTGGAGACCTAGAATCCATGCCATCTCCCTCTCCTAGTGAGTAAGCCTGTAATAAGGACTTTTTTTTAAACAGTAGTAAGAATAGTTTCTAATTTTTTCTCCTTTCCTTTTTTCAACTGACTTTTATTGGTGGGATGGTTTTCGATTTAGGAGAATTGAGTGGATACTACACAGTTCTCCCACGCACTACACTTCCCCACAGCCTGTTCTGATGTCTCCGTTCATACATGTTTCTCCTAGAGAGCCAACTCCAACGCTTTAGTATTAATCACAGCCCTCGGTTTTCCTCTAGCATCCTTTTTTTTTTTTTTTTTTGGTTTTCCGAGACAGGGTTTCTCTTGTGTAGCTTTGCGCCTTTCCTGGATCTCACTTGGTAGCCCAGGCTGGCCTCGAACTCACAGAGATCCGCCTGCCTCTGCCTCCCGAGTGCTGGGATTAAAGGCGTGCGCCACCACCGCCCGGCTCCTCTAGCATCCTTGATTTATGTCTGAAGCCATTTTCTCTTCTGGGGTACCATCCAGGGTCCCCTACATTTACTTGGGGGCTCCTCTTGGCCGTGGCAGCTGCTCCATATTGCCCTGTCTCCGTGGCTGTGGCGTGCAGGGGCCACCAACTAGATGGGTTTGAGACTGAACACCACCTACCAAGAAGCAAAGAGTGGGCGCCGTGGCCAGGTGACGTCAGACATGACTGTACGGGGAACACCCTCTCCTCTCATCACTGCTGTGGCCGAGGCAGGGGACTGTTTCTGTAAGCCTCGGTTTCTCCATCTGTTCAATGGGGAAGTGGCTCTGCCAGGCGCTGCTGTGTGAGGATCCAGTGAGACGTGTCAAGACCCCACTGAGATGTTTGTGGGGTCTTTTCTGTGATTCCGGGAAGTGTCATGACTGACTTAATGATACCTTGGCCATCTCTCCTCCACTGCGAAGGGAGTCAGGTGGGATGCAGTATTACCAATAGACAGTCTGCCTCTGTGGGTGATGGGGCGGTGGCTGCCTCTACAGCGGATGCAGACGTTGAAGGCACCAGCAGGCACTGGGTCTCTGTGAGGGGCCAGGCCTGAGGTACAGTTTCTTCTGCCTTCTTGGTTGAGTCTAGGTGGGCCCTTAGGGGCAGCCTTGCTTCGTGTCCAGCCCCTGACTCCCATGGTATGGATTCCTGTCCCTGGGCAGGAGAGGTTTGGTGGCATTTAGCAGCCTTCTGGGAGCCTCGGGGTTCTCTATTGTTCTCAAGGCAAATCTTCACAGTCTGGGCCCAGGGAAGAGCTCACCAGGTTGTGGTGACCATAAGGAAGGGAGGATTAAGTGGCCAGCCATTGGAGAATGACTTTGGGTACACCACTGTGCCTGTTTCTTCTTCTGGGATGATAAAGATGACCACATGAAGGAATGTATGGGAAGCCAGGGTGGCCAGTAGCCTTAGAGTTATATAGTTAGAGCAAACCACGCCTCAGGGTCCTCCCTGGCCAGACAACAAGACCGAGTATGCTCCGTGGTTGAACAAGAAACTGTGACGGTGCTCTGCTGCCACCTGCTGGCCGTATGCAGCCCTGCAGCAAAGATTCTATAGTCCAAGTGCCTTTGCTTCTGCCCTGGAAAGCTTGGAACTCTCAGGCCAAGCTGGCCCTCCTATGAGCACCAAGTATGGGAGCCATAGTGAGCCCAGATTCCCCCTAAAGGGGAGAGTGTGAGCTGCTCTGCTACCTCCGGGAAGCAAGCCAGTCAGTCATTCAGCTTAACGTTCGCCATGAGTACCTGCCACTTGCTGGTGCTGGTAGAATTCCGTGACAGCCCCAGGGTGCACACAGGCAGCACAGGGTGGGGTGGTCTGTAAGTGACTGCTAAGCGAGAGGATGGTGTGAACTAATCCTGCCTTGCACCTGCTCCTGGACAGGCTCTGGCACATTCACTCTCCTTCGTCCCTCCAAGCTCATCTCTCCACACAGGCCTTGCACAGGGGAGGAAACAGACCGGGGAGCAGGGTAGATGTGCAGCCAGGGCTCCCAACCCATATAGCCTCTTACTCACCCTCTTCCTTCTCCCCCCAGGTACTATGCAACCCCAGCACCTACCTCAGCCCGGACAGCCTCCCCGCAGCCTGCCCGGGGATCTCGGGGAACCCGGCACTCTGTCCACCTGGGTCTGAATGACCTAGGAGAGCTGCAGGCCGCACTCAGCGAGGCTGCACAGGCCGCTGAAAATGTGCGCTTCACCACCCGCCAGCTGAGCCGTTCCCTGTCTGCCGACCTGCGCCACGCCCGTAGCCTGAGAGGCTCCTGTCTCTTCTGACTCCCTGTCCCCCAGGCAACAGTCTCCTGGAGCCATTGATGGCTGGAAGATGTCATGCCCCCTCCTCAGGAGGGCCACCTACCTGCTCCATGTAGCATGTTTAAAATGGAGAGACTTTGGCCTGGTCAGTAGTGGATGAACATCCAGGGGACCAGCTCTGTCTACCAGGTGCGGTGGTCATGGCTACCTCTGTCCAGTCAGAGCCTCTGAGATTTTCCTTGTCATCCCCTTCTGCCCATGTCCACCTGCAGCTAATATGGATCTCACTGGACAGAACGTCTTTACACTGGGGAGCTAACTTGAGCTTGGATCCTTCTCAGAAGGCCAGCAAGGACAAGGTCAGCCTAAGGTCGCTGCAGCATCCCTGTCACTGCCTGTAATAGCCACGCTGAGGCAGGGGAACCTGGCTAGGGAGTTTGTTCCTAGCCTGTGGACAGGGGAAGGACTTAGGGACCCAGAGAACATCTTGGGATGGAGGCCTCAGGTGACATGTGCCCCGATCTCCTGTGATTACAAAAGTTTTCTCCCTGAACCCACAGAATAGAGCCAGCCCATGTAGGGCCAGGAAAGACCCGCCAGCCTCAACCTTCCCGCTATTCCTTTGGATTTTGGTAGCATCCACTAGAGAACTACCTGCCAGGCCCTGGCTGAGGCTGACAAACCAGGCCAACACCCCTTCCCCCCCGTCCCATAGCAGAGTGATCTCAGCATTTTTGGAATGTGTGTTTATCACAGATTGTTTATATATTTTAGACATTTAAAAATCTATTTTCGTTATAAAAGCCAATGAAGGAAAATGAATAATGATCTTAAGAAAGGGACAAATTCCCAAAGCTCCTTGTGTCTGTGGTGTGTATCGGAAGCCCGTGGTTGTTAAAGGTGAGGGTGTGGGCAGGGAAGTGGATGCCCAGCTAAGGTCTCCCCCAGGGTACCTGCTGCATGAGTCCAGAGTCTGCCTGTCCTTCTACTGACGTCTGTCTCTGAGCTTTCCTTCATCCTGGCCTTAGCCTACAGAGGCCAGCCGAGCAAGGCTGTGGTGGTGGGAGACACCCAGCAGGAGAGTGTCTTCCAAAGCCCCAGGCCAGAGTGAATAGCACCCTCTGTCTGTGCCCAGCTGGACACTGGGTATGCGTGTGGCAGCTTGGCCGTCCCCATCCCCCCCCCCCCCACCCCACCCCACCCCCCGGTGTACTGACAGGCGGAGTGGGGCTCCACAGAGCTGTCTGCATCAGCCGCATTTCCCATTTCTGTGAAAAAGCAGCTGCAGGGTGGAAGGCTCATGGATGGAGAGGGACACAGCCCGTCGTGTCAGGAGGCTGCAGGAGCTGGTCACACTGCATCCAGTCAGGACAGGGGAATGACCTGAGCAGAGAGAGTTGAATGTCGGGGCCCAATTAGTTTTCTTCTTTTTGTTAAGTGGGGACCCCTCCCCAAGGAGTGCTGCTGCCCACGTTCAGGCTGGGTGGTCATCTCTGGAAACGTTCTCACAGACACACACACATAGTACACCGCCTAGGTGCAAATCCATTTGAGTGTGCAGATTCTCTCACACCCTGTGTTGGCCACTGAGTGGACTGCTTGTGAAACAGCTGTCCGCTGGCCTCTAGGTTGTCAGTTGTCAACCAGTCCCATCTCACGCTGTCATCGTCGTCTGACTCCATATGGGCACCCTGAGGACTCTTCCTGAGGACATCCAGACTCTCTGGCCTACACCCAAGTCTACCACGCCATCTTGCCCTGGACTTTTATACCATGCCCATGGCAGCATCCACATGGGCCCTCCTGTCTCCCAACTCACCTCTCCTCCATGGTTAGGATGGCACTTGTGAAGTAAAGACCCCTGTGATGGGCATTACACACCTGGATTCCCCACCCCAACTCACTGACGCTTGGGTCTTCTGCCTCATCTCCTCCAAAGGTGCCCGCTTGCATTTGGAACTTACAACAGCAGCAGGTTTATTTTTCAGCTCGTGATTCAGATGCCCCTTCCAGGAAGCCTTCTCAGATTTCCCCGGGTTGGGCTTGTTGGACTTAGCTGAGACTCCACTCATGGCAGGCCTCTCCATGAATGAATGAATGAATGAATGAATGAATGAATGAATGAATGAATGAAGCAAATAAATTGTTACTGACTGTTTTGACAAAGCTTTATTGATGTGGAGAAAGAACCAAGGTACACAGGGTGGGTGTGGTGGGCATGAGGACAGCCCACAGAGTACAGAGAGCTGAGACCATGCCTGGCCTTGCTAGGAACCCTCCTCTGTCTTCTTCTCTTGCTCAGACTGCTCCTGCTGCTGGCTGCACATATCCTAGAGAAGAGCAGGGAAGAGAGTAGAGTGAGTGAGCTGGCTGTGGCGGCACACAACTGTGGGGGACTGAAGCAGGAGGATTGCTGAAAGCTCCAGGGTATCCTGGGTTACAGGGTGAGATATAAAAGAAAAAATAATATGGCAAGATAGGTAAGCCTGATGGACAACTTGAATTCAATCCCCAAAGCCCATATGAGGGTGGTGTGCTCCACAGAGTTGTCCTCTGATGCTCTTCACACACATGGTATGCTTGCACGTGAGTGCACACACATCACGTACACATGCACATGCACTTGCACACACACACATAATAGCAATAATTTTTTTTTTTCGTTTTTGAGACAGGGTTTCTCTGTGTAGCTTTGGCTGTCCTGGAACTTGCTCTGTAGACCAGGCTGGACTCAAACTCATAGATATCCTCCTGCCTCTGCCTCTCAAGTGCTGTGATTAAAGATGTACACCACCACCACCTGGCTATAAATACATTTTTAAAAGGGGAATGAAAATCCCAATGGTTGCCCAGAAAAGGCAGGATAGTGTCAACCAGCTGTAACTGAGATCTACCACGGCTTCATTGGAGTATCTAGGGCAAGTCATTCCTGTCTCTGAGCCTCAACTTATTCACTCCATTGAACAGGAGCATGGAGCCCCCAAAACAGCAGGCATTTTCTGAACATTCCTGACCACGGGTGCGGGTTGAGTCTACAGACCCCACAGTCCTGTAGCTGAAACGACTGAGGCCCAGGTGGCCGGGTGACCTTTTTGAGGTCTCCTGGTTGTGAGGTGGAGAAGGCAGGCTGTGAAACAATTGCAGTGGCTGTCTGCAGGCATCCTCTTCCTGGGAACCCAGGGCTGGCAGGAAGGGTTCAGGTAGGGTCACAAAGTACTGTGTGTCTCTCAAACTGAGTGTAAGCTCATTGGCTGGCCCTGTGACCTCAGCTAGAACAAAGTCAAAGCTGAGGAAGACTTTCCTTCAGCACAGGTTTAGAGGGAGCATCAAGAAGACCCTGTGTGGATCATTCCTGCCTTATAACCAAAGTCACCGGGCTTGCTGGAGTTGGCAGGGCACAGAAAACTTCAACCACAACTTCGTATAGGTAGTGAAAACGAAGGCCGGGGAAAAGCCTGGCACCCTGGCACCAGCCGTCCCCTCCATTGCCCTTTCTGGTCCTGTCCCTTATCCTCCCCAGTCTTTCCAGGGTCTCCTACCTAACCCCACCCACCCCCAGTCTCGTTGCCTACCTCTGGTCTCTGGGAATCTCAGCGGCCACAGCAGGCGGAGTTCTTAACAGCAAGACACCTGCCTCACTGGGCTACCTTAACCAGCAGCTTACCCTCTCTGAGCCTCTAGGGTCACTCAAGAGGGTGACATCATCCAGCCTCTCTGTTTACCTTTTTCCAGTCAGTATATATGATTTCTGACTCCTTCATGCCCAGACTTTTGACAGCTTTCTGGAATTCCTCAAGAAGCTCCGGGGAAACATCTGGCTTATTAGCTGCAAGAGAGAACAGGGGGTGCTGAGTAAGGGGTCAGCAGATGGGAGGCCCGGCAGGGATGTGGGGTGCGGGTGGGGAACCAAGGGCAAAGTCCTTGGAGTTGGGGATCAGGGCTGCGAGGCGCCTACCGTACAAGGACAGTCCCCGGTTCTTTTCGTCCTGCGGGGCAAAGGCAAGCAGGAAGCCCCCATGTCTCTTGAACACTTTCAGGTGGGCCAAGAATTCTACTGCTCCGTCTGCAGGAGGGAAGGTTCCGTGAGTCACTGGAATGGGGCCACGCACCCCATTGCCGAGGTGAGGGAGCGAAGAGTTAGGGGCAAAGGCCCGGGACTCCTGAGAGCTGCCCTGTGCTCAGCCTCTGCAGTGTGCCAGCCCTCTGCTGAGTGCTTCACAGATGAGGGATGGCGGGGCCCCTGGAAAGATGGTGGCTATCTGTCCCCATGTCACGGATGAAGGGACACAAGGATTAAAAGCCTCAGGGTTGCTAAGCAGTGTCTGATCGGGCCCATCAGCATTTGTGTGGCCTTCCTATGTGTTGTCACCTGTGACACGGGGAACATGGGTGAAGTCGTGGCGGCCCACCCCACGGGTTCCCACTCTGAGCTCACAGAGCATGGGAAAGGATGGTTAAAAGAGAGGCTGGTCTGGAGCTAGATTCTAGTGTGAATCTGCTTCTAATTACAAAGAGCGACTTAACCACCCTGTGCTGTTTCCTTCTCTGATCCTTGCGATATCGAAAGCACTGAGTTCCAACAGTGCCCGCCCAGCACAGGGCAAGAGCTCGGAGCTTTTGTTGGTCAGCCAGTGCTCTCTGTGACCACAGGATCCAGGGCCTTGGCACGCCCTCACCTCTAAGCTGGCTAGCCCCCTTCACAGACAGATCCGTCCCATAAGTGCTGGCCCTCACCCAATTTGGAGATGGTCCCATTCTCTCTCTGGACTCCCAGCTTGCTGACGTTATAGACACATCGGTCCTCCCTACGGGCAAAGGGAAGGTGGACAACAAAGTGAGAGGTCATCAGGAGATGTGACTAGCATGGAGGCCAAGAGGCAGGTAGAGAAGACAGTTAGCTGTCCCCATTCCTGAAGGTGGGAGGAGGGGAGGCCAAGCAGAGGCAGAGTTTGCTCAGGTCTCCAGGCATCCAGGAATGGAGGCCAGGGCTGGGGTGGGGTGGCTGCTGCAAGGACTCACATGGTCTGGTATTCTTGGAGCAGTATAGTGTCGTCCGTCACGTTGGGGGTAAAGTAGAAATATTCCGCCTGTATCTTTTGAGCTGCCTGCTTGAACACAAGGTTGTGTAAAGCCGAGCCGATGTAAAACCATTTGCCAGAGAGCTGGGAAGATGAAGGCACACAAGTGAGCAGTCCTTGGAGTGTGGACCTTGGCAGTCAGCACTGATGAGTGGCCGGCAAGAGATGGCTTCTGAGCCACACATGGGGGAACTGAAGCCCCAGGTGGGGATCACATAGACAATTCAAAAATCAGCCATCCACTGCTCTGTCCCTTTCTAGAGACCTCAGGAGGGATGCTTCTGAGTTTGGAGGCAGAGGCATGCCACCAGAGTCCCAGGCTGATTAGAATTTCCCTCAGGAGAGGCAAGGGCAGCACCAGGAGCCCAGAGATTAACACAGACAGGGAAGGAAAAGCCCCGAGGAAAGGCTGCCATCTACAGTGCTCAGAGCCAGGCCCCGGGCAGGCACTCACCCAGCTCAGAGTGTCATTGGTAATAGGTATGCCTGTGATGTTGGCATGTTCTGGATTCTGGGCCTCCAGCAGAGGCAGGAGGCTCAAAATGACAAGAACCCTGCGCAGCGCCATGCGGACGGACACTCAGAGGCACCAGAGCCAGGAGGAGCTAACTGGTGGCTGGAGGGTGCAGCGGCCTTTATAACAAGATGTGGGAGGGGCTCAGGAGTCCAGCCAGGGGCTGCAGAGACTTGGCACAATCCCACTAGCTCTGAGAAACATCTTGCGTAAAACGTCCTCTCAAGTCAGCTGTAAGTACAGGTCTCACAGGCAGCCCTGATATGGGCTCCTGACCTACAGTTGCCCTCAAAGCCAGAGTGTTGATTCATGGCCAAGGTGTGTACAAGGCTAGCCCAGGGACACTTAACAGGTTACCAGCCACAAGTTTTTAATATAGATCCCAGCTAGTAATCTCATTCATTTCTTGTCCCATGGAGCTGCTGAGCATGAGTGAGAAACCCTCCACCCTCAGCCATAAATCAAATCCTGAATGTGTTATGAAGAGGTTCCAGGTCAGGCATGAACCTGGAAGACACTTAGGGAGTAAATATGACAAAGATGAGTTAGATCCAAATGAGTGTGATGCTTCTGGGGACCCCTAGCCAGCCTTGTAGACTACCAAGTGCCCAACGGGGGTGCGGGTGGGGCTGGGGGTGGATCTGAGTGGAATATCTAGTCCAGCAAAAGTTCCAGTATCTAAACCAGGCAAGGATCTGCCTATGGCAGTGCTCGCCCAACCCTGGAGCTGTGCCCAGCATCCAGTAAGTATCAGCTGTAGTTCCTGCCTGATGTAGCCCAATCTCGTTCCACACGAATGAACACTCTCAAAAAGGATTGTTATGGTCAGGCATGGTGACACTCACTGGGGCAGGAAGTCATTTCTGGGAACTTGAGACCAGCCTGGGGGTACACAATGGGCTGTTTCAAGACCGCAACAACAGTAGTGTTAGAGCATGCATGCTCACAATTTTGTGTTCTACTCCCTGTGTCCTCCGCCTGTTTTTATATTTTAGTGTAGTCAGAGTTACAGTAACACATAACTTGTCGTTCACTTACTATGTTCTAACTTCATGAGACCCTCTCTTCAACTTGTGGCACGTTGTATTGTATTTTCCCCCTCGTGATAGTGTCAGAGCAGTATATTACCTTTTGAAATGACCCCGCCATCCAACAGGAAAAAGCACACGTCAACTCCAGCATCATGCATGCGAGTGATTCCAGTGGGATTATTTAAAGCAGCCCCACGGGCAAATCTGTTAAATGCCCACGACCAGGCAAATGGGAAATGGGTTGTGATGTCTCACGCGAAAGGACTGTTGTTTAGTGACAGAGAGAAACGAACTGCTGATAGATTGGACAGTGCAAATGAAGCTCAACAGCACCATGGCCAGTAGTGGAACTCAGATATCCCAGAGGTGGGATTGTGTAAATCTGCGTATGGGAGTTCTAGACTAGCCCAGCTAATCTGTAATGATAGAAATGAAGTCAGCGGTTGCCTAGGGGAAAAGGAAGGGGCCACAGACGGCAGGGGGAAAGCCGGACCTGGTTTTGTTAATCACAGATTAGAGTCCCCTTCTAAAGGCATATAATTAAAAAAGCATGTCTCAGGAAACTAGGATAGTCCCCACTGTATGGATGAAGTAACAAGCCGCACAGAGAGGTTAAGTGACCTGGAGAAGACACACAGCAGCAGAGCACAAGCAACTCTACAGATGTGAGCATCCCTCTCCACCTCCTTCTGTAGCAGCAGCTGGGCAGGACTGCTGATTCTAATTAGGGCCTGTAGGTCGGGGCTGAGAAAGCACACCAAGGACTGTCGGGACAAGCCCAGGTCCTGTGTGGAGATCTTGGCAACGTGCGTGTGACTGACCTCCGTGAACCTCAATTCCTTTGTCTGAAAGTCCATCACGGTATGTACATGTTTCGCCAGTCAAGTCCTTGAGATTAAAAAAACACAGCACGCTTTGTACTGGTGCAGGGGGCATGGCCAGTGTACAGGAACTACCTCCATTGTGAGCGTGAACAGTGCTTTTCTTGGCTTGACCCGTCTGTAGCTGGCCTCTACAGATCAAAGAGCAGGTGCCGAGACTACGGCTCAGAAGGTAAAACGCTCGCCCTACAAGCATGGGGACTTGAGTTTGATCCCAGGAACCCAGACAATAAAGCCCGGGCATGGTGGCACACACCTGTAATCCTAGCAGTGAAGGGATAGGCATGGGCAGGTTCCTGGCGCTCAATGGCCAGCCAGGCTAGCGGACTTGGCAAGCTCAAGGCCAAAGGAGAGACCCTGTCTTAAGAAAGAGGGCTGACTGCTCTGAGGAAAAACATCTGAGGTTTGCCTCTGGTGTACACACACACACACACACACACACGCACGCACGCACGCACGCACGCACGCACGCACGCACGCACGCACATGTTCAACAGCAATTGACTATTGTTCGGCTCTATACTGTGGACGGATAGCCTACCTACGGCTGGCAGGCAGGACAGAGCGGGCTTCTCACGACAAAATGAGCTCCCTCTGAAGGCTCTGGCCCAGGCAAGATGCTGGGCCCAGAACTTGCAGTGTCTGTCTGTCTGTTCTCTTCTTTCCCTCATAGGCTACTGAACATTGTGTTGTGAGCAGGCCTTGGCTGACCTTTCGGCACTGTGGACAGGACAAACACAGCAAGTCAAGGTTTTCCCTGGAACCCCGGGCGGCTTCCTGTCACCTAGGTTGTGCAATGGAAGATTGAGAAATGTGGGGAAGGCTGGCTCAGACAAAGCTGCCACCTGCCACCGCCACTTCTGGGAAGAAACTGGCTTAGCTTCAGGGCGTTTACTGGCCAGGTCACGGGGACCCAGGCATCAACGAGACCAAGTGGTGAACATACTCGTCTCCCGCTCCAGCCCTTCCTGCTGGCTCTCGTGTCTCCCGGGTCATGTTTACAAAGCCACAGAGAGGCTGCTGACACTGTCAGAGTTCTGAGTCTCAGGCCAACCTGTCCTGCCGTCCCAGCTCTGCCATCTGCCACCTGCACAGCTCGGCTCCCGGGTCCCGTTGCAGCTTGGATCTACCCGTCCCAGTCTCTGTTCTGAGTGAAACCATAACTTCTGTTTCATGGTGCCCAAGCCCCTCTGCTGCTGCTGCCACCGGAAGGGAGCCACCGGCACTTCCTGCCACGTGGATGAGCAAGGCTTGTTTTTCCCTAGATGCAGCCTTGGACCCAGAGCCACGCTGATGCCTGGACACTGAGGCCTGGAGTAGGAGGTCTACAGATGGCACAGCACACAGAAGGGTCTCAACCTGAGGAAGCAGTAACTTCAGGTTTCCGCCGGCACCTCTTCCAGGCAGGTGTTATGAGTTCTCTCAGATGGAGTGTTCCTCACGAGAGCCAAAAGGGGGGCACAGCCAGGGTCTCCCAACTGAAGAACGGATAACTTGCAATCTGTCCATACTGTGTGCAGTCAGCCTCCACGAGAGCCATCTTGAATTGTATGCATCACAGCTGCTTTTGGGTAACCCACCTCTGTTTTCCTTGCCTAGTTTCTCAGCCAACTATAAATAGGTAAAACATGAGCATGGTATGTGGAGCTTTTGTGTATGTGTATGTGGGTGGGTGTCATGTTCACGTGTGTGTGTGTGTGTGTGTGTGTGTGTGTGTGTGTGTGTGTGTGCGCGCGCGCATGTAGAGGCCAGTGACCACCCCAGGTGTCATTCCTCAGGAACTGTCCAGCTTCTATTTTTTTGAGACAGGATCTCTCACTGAACCTGGGGCTCATTGATTTGGCTAGGCTGGCTGACCAGCAGGCCCCAGAGGTCAGAAAAATCTGACTTTTCACGTGGGTCTGGGGATTGAACTCTAGTCCTCACACTTTCACAGCCAACACTTTACCAAGAGTCATCTTCCCAACCCCCAGTACCTGGAGCTTTAAAGCCAGGCCCTGTGCCGGGAATGTACTCTTCCTTCTGACCCAAACTACAGTGGTGCGCTTGGTGTTGCTGTGTCTTTCTGGAGTAGATCCCCAGTAAATTGTGCCCAGTACAGTACTTATCAGCTCACTTCTTTCTCTGCTTTCACAGCACCTGTGCTCATCGCTTACATTCTGGGGTGGGTCAACCCAGAATGACAAGATGTGACAAGGGCTGGAGAGATGGCTCAGTGGTTAAGAGCACTGACCGCTCTTCCAGAGGACCTGGGTTCAATTCCCAGCACCACATGGCAGCTCACAACTGTCTGTAACTCAAATTCCAGTGGATCTGACTCCTTCACAAAGACATGCAGGTCAAACACCAATGCATATAGCCGGGCGGTGGTGGCGCACGCCTTTAATCCCAGCACTCGGGAGGCAGAGCCAGGCGGGTCTCTGTGAGTTTGAAGCCAGCCTGGTCTACAGAGCGAGATCCAGGACAGGCACCAAAGCTACACAGAGAAACTGTGTCTAGAAAAAAAAAAAAGTGATGGTATTGCCATCAAAAGGAACGAAGGAACACCGCATGATTCAACACACACATGCAAAGCCCTGGGTCCCATCCCTGAGTGTGGAGTGCAGCTCAGAGGCCGGAAGGGGCCAGGACAGCTCCAGGCTTGGGGGCTTGGATGGAGAAGGGCTCTTCCTACACTTGGGCATCCCACTCTTCCTCCAGAACCTTGGCGTCAATTTGCCCTCAGCTTTAAGCCCCAGCACTGGTCTCGGCCTCGGCAGGACCCCTCCGAGCATCTTCCCTCCTCAGCCAAGGCTTCAGCCTGCCCTTGAGCACTGTGAAGAAGCGTCAGACCACAGTCTCAGCGTTCTGTTGCTCAGTTTTAAATATTTATTTAAAGTCCAGAAGGGTCTGGACACACTGACACTTAGACAGAAACAGAAGAACGACAGTGAATACACATCCGGTGACGAGAGAGACACAGAGGGGAAACAGGAAACAGCGCGCAGATGAGGACCGAATGACAAAACGCACGTCTAGCCTGGGGTGGGGCGGGCAGGGGTACACACGCAGCATCTGGGGGAGGGGGGAAGGGAGTGAGGTATTAAATAATGGAAAGCAAATCCAATTCCTCACAAGACACAACTTTAGAAACACACAAATGCAGACTTTGACATCAATCTTTCTTCTATAAAAATAATTCCATAGTTAAAATAACTTCAAAATCCAATTGGGGTCCCGAATAATTCAGGTTGCATGGAAGGTCGCTGTTACGGAGACCGATGAGGTACCCATAACTGATCCTTCCTCCTCCACCCAAATAGGCGCTTGGGGAAAGGATGTGGGTTTCTACACAGCTGTGCGATCTGAGAAAGCAGAAAGGTTGGCTGCACTCAGAAGAGGAGCTCCTGGGAGGGAAACCTTGGTCTTCAGAGACGGTCGGCATTTACAGTTCACCTTCCAGATCAGCCCTCACTGAGGGGCATCTTCCTCAAATCCGAGGAGTCTTCTCCCAGGTCGGGTCTTCTAAAGGGAACCAAACCCCTCCAGGAGCAAGGAGGACCACGTCAGAACGCCTCCCCAAAGGTCAGAAGCAGAAATCTCCATACTTCTGGTTTCTAGTAAGATTTTTTTTCTTTTTCTTTTTTTTTTCTTTTTTCCTTTTTCCTTTTTTTTTCCTCCTCAGCAGATTACGGAGGTAATGCTAGTAACATTGTTAAATCCCCATTTGGAGGAGAGAACGATTATGGACAAGGCCCCACTCAAAACGTTTCTTCAAAGCCTGTGGCAACAAAAATAGTAGCACCTTCAGAATCTTAAATAAGGTTTTTTTTTTTCTTCTTAAAAAAAAATCACATACATTACAAGAGACAATTGTGAGCACCAGCAATTTCACAGTGGGAGGTAGCGCACAGCACCCCAGCCTGGGGGTCAGCCTCTCCACACCCCCAGCTCCTCTTGTCCTTCCTCACCTCTCCCAGGTGAAAAAAAATAGTAACACACCTTCTTTTTGTTTAAATAATATATATATATATATAATAGATAGATTTCTTTCTTTCCTTTTCTCTTCTATTTTTTTTTTTCATATCTCCTTTCTAATATTGCACATCAAAAGCTCCCTAGCAGGGACCAGCCGACAACACGCCCCCTTCCCTTGAGGTGGCATCAATGGGGGAAGGACTCTTTGGGGAGGGAGGGGCTGTGTACAGAGCTGGGCAACAGGCCATGGGCTGGAGTGGGCAGCAAGCCCTGCTTGCTTTGACTGGCTCTTTGGTTGGGGCTAAGCTGGGATTGGCAGTTCTCCAGGACAGCCTGCTTCCCTCTCTCAACTCCCGCTGAGCAGATAACAGCGGGGACCTGCACCGGGGTCCTGAGGCAGGGTCCCGCATCTTCTGGGACTTGCTGCCCCCAGCCTCTTCCCTCCCCAACAAGGCTTAGAGGAGCCTGGAGGTCAGAGGTCGGAGGTCAGAGGAAGCACGCAGGTCCGACTTCGAGGCGGTACTGCTTCCCTGATGAGACAGGTGGGAGGTTGTCCACGCTCACAATGGGCAGCTGCTGGGGGTCCTGGGTCCGGAAGGTGAACAGTGTCTGGTGCCAGCGGCCATCACGGACCTGTAGGTAGGCAGGAAAATGACATGAATGTGATTCTTGACATTTACAAATGCATTTCTCATTATCTTTTGTTTTTGCAGGAATAATGTGGCATATCTGGGTACACATCTGGCTTGGTTGCTTGTATTTTTTTTAAAGTTTTTTTTGAATATTCAATATTTTTAATTATATGTGTGTGGTGTGTCTGAGTGTGGGTTAGTGTATGTGTGAGTGCAGGTGCCTTTGAAGACCAGAAGGTGGCATCAGATCCCTCGGAGTTCAAGTGGTTGTGAGCTGCCCAACATGGGTACTGAGAAATGAAATCAGGTTGTGTCAGAGTACAAAGTAGCAAGTGCTCTTACCTGCTGAGCCATCTCTCCAACATCTATCTGACTATCTATCTATCTATCTATCTATCTATCTATCTATCTATCTATCTATCTATCTATCTATCATCTATCATCTATCTATCTATCATCTATCTACCTATCTATCATCTATCTATATATCTATCTATCTATCTATCTATCTGTCTGTCTATCTATCTATCTATCTATCTATCTATCTATCTATCTATCTATCTATCATCTATCTATCTATCATCTATCTATCTATCATCTATCTACCTATCTATCATCTATCTGTCTATCTATCTGTCTGTCTATCTATCTATCTATCCATCCATCCATCCATCCATCCATCCATCCATCCATCTATCTGTTTTTGAGATAGGGTCTCATATAGCCCAGCCTTGCCTTGAACTCCTCCTGTTCCTCCTGCTTCTGTCCCCCTCCATCCCCCAATCAAGTCCTGAGATCACAAGTGTGAAACATCCCACCGATGTCAATTTTTAATGTTTTTTCTTTTATTCTTGTTAAGTAATAATTGTATGAAATCCACTGTGTTTTCACTCTGGGGCACATTCCTAGTGTGAATATCCCATGAACAGATTCTACAAGTAGACTCTCCAGACCCAAGGACAGCTGGTGTTCTTGATACATACTGACTCTATATTTACACAGAGCTTTTTTCCAACATCTCTTTTCTCGGTAGCTTCATGCGGGGAGCACATCTTTAATGACACTGTGGATACTAGTTTGACTTAATGAAAGTAGTTTTACCCATGCATGACTTTCTGTCTCCTTCAACCCTTCGTGCACATCCTGTTTAAGACATTTGAAAGTGACCCAAACTATTAACAGAAAGAAAGGCCCCTGACCGGTAGAGCGGAGAACAGATACTCTTTCAAAGAGGCCTTTGCAAAGTAACAAATGTCCCTATTAGCCTGAAGGACTTTTATCAGCATAGATTCCTCCTTAGGAGGTTCCCAGAGAGGTTATCTTAGAGAGTGCAAGGCCCTGGGTCCACCCCCAGCAACACACATATGCACACACACACTCACACACATATGTGCATGGGCACTCACACACACACACAGGAAAGTGAATAAAGTCAATTTTACTAAATAAATCATTCTAATGAAATTGAATGATGACAATGAATTGTATACAATGTAGTATAAAATGATAAGACATACTTAGAAAACCAGATAAGTTTCTCTAGTGTCCCCACATCAAGGGACAATGAGGGGGCTCCAACAGTTACCTTGCAGCCATCCACGGACACCTCTGGCCTGAACTGACCCCCAGCTTCGAAGACCTGTCCATTCCAGGCACGGAAACGCACGGCTTGCCTGGCAGAGAGGCGCCCTGGGCCCTCCTGCCACACTGTCAGGTTCAGGCAGTGGATTGTGATGTGCTGTGTCCCCTCAGAGCTGAGCAGGTGCAAGAAATTCATCTGGACCCGGCTCACAGCAAACTCCACCTGTGGGGGAGATGCAGGTGGGAAGCAGCCTCCCACAGCCCTCAGGTCCCCCACCTTTCTGGAAGGCACCAAGGTTAGCCCTCTCCCGGCCAGTTTTTCCTGTGTCATCTGCCCACTAGAAAGACAGAGAAACCGAGTTCTGTGTGAGCTGGTCCTGTAGCCTCGTGACTGTTCAAGCCCAGAACCAGAGGTCTGAGGATCTGATTTGTTTGCCCTGCTCTCCCAAGTGGATGAGCTAAGGG